AAACCTTGCATTTGGAAGCGGCTCCACCCTGCCCCTGATGTGTCTGTGACCAGTGTCATAGTTGGGGAAGAGATTGAGACCCCTTTCATTACATTCAGTGGGAAGCCATCATTCTAATGTTATAACAAACAATGCCCGGTGGTATGGCATGAGGCGGCTTCCCAAGGTCATGCTCTGTGGAAAGGTTTCTATACAGCTTTCCACTATCCCATCAAATTTGCTGACAGGTCATCCCAGAAGGTGGAGGAGGCTTGATGCCCTTTATTTTACCCAGGGCATTTCCTGGCCATGTACCTCCATTTGTCCATGGTACCCTGTGGTGTGTGGTCTCTGATGACACAATGTCTGAGGATGGTATGCCCTTTGATAGGGTGGAGGAATGTAGATCCCCAGAAAGCACTGGGATGCTTTGGAATATTTCCATGCATGTAGGGCCCTACCAGTGCATTCATTTAACTGCTCTGACCCCTCAAAGGGCAAGTTTTTAATCCTGGCTCCTACCTTATGAGGGATACCTGAAGCTTGGCACCATGACACTCTACAAATGGCTACTACAGTGGTCACAGACTTGGTCTCAGTGTCAGAGGCCTCCATCACTTCCTGTAGATGGCTCTGAGCTGGTCTTCTTTTATATTGTGTTTCAGCTTCTCTGTTTTTGTGAAGGTGTTTGGCCAAGAAGGGTGTCACCCTATCCCATGTCAAAAAGTCATATTTGGCCAGCAATGACTGACAGCTGGCCACTCTCAATTGGAGCAAGGCTGATGAGTAGGCCTTTCTTCCAGATGGATTGTAGCATTTGGGATCTTTGTCCTTCAGCATGTTTTTGGTGGATCTTGACTTCTGCTGAGCAGCTGAGACCACCAGGGTGTCAGGGTTGGGGTGGAAGTCAAAGTAATCACAACTGGGGGGGTTCCTGGTACCAGTTTCTGGCACATTTAGCTATTGCTGGAATAGCATCTGGCGTTTCTCAAGAGGTTCTTGCTGGGTCTAGGATGACTCATTTATAAGGAGGGCAATTCTGGCACGACCAGCAGCCAACAAAATGTCAAATACTTTATGAGGCTTCTCAGAGATGATCAAAATCTCTGTCTCCAACGTGTCCGTGATCTGCACCAGAAACTTCTGAAAAGCCTTGAAATTGTCCAGTGCCACTATCATTACCGAGGCTATTGCTTCATCCTGCAGTGATGATAATGAGAGGTGTTTAGGCAGTGAGCGGAGTCATTCAGTGTCCGGATCTTGTTCCTCTGTGGCCTCTGACAACTACAGAAACCTCAGGAGAGGGGAACCCCTACTCCTCTTTTGTGAAGGCAGGGATTATCTCTGAGAGAGTGAGCCCTATCACTAGGGGCATGGTGGCATTCTGTATGCATATGTAGGGCTGGTGGGTTGCTGGCCGAACCAGAGCCAAACTTGGTGCGCTGGCTGTTGAGGTTTGTAGAGATCCCCTGGTCTCTCAGTGGCACAACTCGTAGACCTCAGTGGCAATAGTTTTCTCCTTCAGGATGGAAAAAGGTGTGTCCTGGGGATGGGTATAAGGAATACACCTCTTCCATAGGTGGTGTGGTCTGGTAAGGTGCTATCAGTGCCAAGGACTGTGTTGTTTCTAATGCATATGTCAGTGCCAAGAGATGATGCTGGCATTGATGCTGTCACCGGTGAAGTCTTCTGTGGTGCAGTCTGCTCCCTTCTGCTCATCTTTGATGCGGTGAGACTTATTTGGCTTGTCTCCCAGAGTCTTTCTTTACGAGAGGAGACCAAGTTCCTTTTCGAGCCCCTCCCCCACTCCTCTGGGTAGCCCTTTTCAGTCTACTGCATCCAACATGTGAGATGTCAAATTGGGGGGTGATGATGACTTCTGTGCTTCTTTCTCTACAGATGTCTTCGGAGTCACCTGCCTGCTAGATAGAATGCTGCAACGTGTGGGCTTGATTGTTAGACGTGTCTTTGAGCTCAAATCTCCTGGCTCCAATGCCATTTGCACACACTGCTTCAGAAGATGTAGGTACAGCCTCGCATCCCTCAAGTTGCAGGTTCTTGCAGACAAGAAGAGGCAGATCGAACAACTGCTTGGAATGTGAGATTCTCCCAAGACGAATAGGCATCTGCTGTGCCTCTCTTTCAGTGCAGTTAGCTCATCACAGGATGGCGAAGGCTTAAAGTCTGTAGGGTTTGAGTGTACCATTCTAACAACCTGTACAGGGGGAGCTATAAGGGCGGTTTGCAAGCAGTTTTTAGTTTGACAAACATTAGAACAGACCTGGGTAGGAAGAATAAATGAATGAAGATAGTTCAGAGGTATCTCAGAGGAGTGGAATAAGCTTTTGGGAAATTTAGCCAAAGCAATCATACAACAAACTGGATACTCACTAGCTTCCTTCTTGCTGCCATGGGCAGTAAAAGGGAACTGTGAGAGGGTCATGGTCACCCCACCCTTTGTGCCCTCATAGAGGAGCATGAGGAAGCACTGGGTGCATGCATAGACCTGACACTGCTATTCAAAAATATCTGGTCTCATGTGGCTGGGGCACATACACACTGACACATACTTGAAGAACTACTCCTGAGTTGTGATTCTGGTTTTGTCCGCAACTCACCAGGCAGCCTTGAGCAAGTTGCTAAAGGCCTTCTTTTCAGAGGGGTTAAGTACCTGTGGCTCTTAATTTTAGATGGAACTGTGGGTCCACAGCATCTCTGAAAATCATGGCTTTAACCTTTGTGCCTCAGTTTCCCATCTGTAAAATGGAAATGGTAATCCATATCCACCATGTCGGTGGGCTGTAAACATTAGCTAGTTAAAGTGGGTTGAAGATGTAAAATACAAGAACAATTTGATTCTTAATAATTATTACTGCTTTTCTCTAAACGTTGGGATTTTTAAAGCCTTTTTTTTCCACTGTAGGAAGCTTGGATCAAGAAGTGTGCAGTTTGCACAGCGATTTAGCTGTCCTAACAAGACCACTGTGCTCACTACCCAGAATACAGGTGTGAAAAAAGCTCCAGCAAAATAGGGGCCTCTGTTTTGACAGATACTAAGTGCAGAGCTGAGGGTGGACAGCACCTGCCCAATATACCGCAGTAATTGCATTGTGTAGGGACCACGTCTGTGATATGAATCTACATTTAGATTTCTCTTAGACAACATTTTGTCTTTGGGAAACTATGAAATACAACCCAACTGGAAAATGGACACATTCTCCCCCTGAAAAAAGAACCCTCTCTTCCCAAAGTCAGTATTGCAACAGATAGCATGATAAATTTACGTTCTGCGACAGTCTCTTCCAGCCTCACTCTGTTCCTTTGCTGTTACTTTGTAATACAGTGCACTCATGTACTTGCATGTAGTTTTTTCCTGGTCTAATTACTGGGCTGCTACCTGCTCAGGGTAATGTTTAAGGCAGCTGAACTAGATTACTGTGTCTGGAAGGGAAAAGTTACTGCAGATAATCCAAAATGACAGGTCTGATAAATACCACTGGGTAGATTCTGATCTTCCCCATATCTGTTTTCTGATTCATAGCAGGGGAATTGCCTTTTTTCAAATTCCACAGACGGTAAGCACAGGCGTCCTCAAGGGAGATCCAAAACTGGTAAGCTATTATTACTCTTGTATTCAAGGGTACACCTGTAATATGTTTCTGAATAGCTCTTTCTCCTTTCGCCAGCTTAAAAGTTTCTTCTGCCCATTCTGCTGTCTCTTTGTTAATTTGATGGAGCAGCATATTCTTTTTAAAACTCTAAAGAATAAAAGTTTCACAGTTGGATACCTGAAGCTAGACTACTTAGATTGGTATTTAGGTACCCAAATAAAAGTGGCTTGATTTTCACAGGCGCTGAGCACTGATGATTTCTATTAAAGTCAAAGGGAGTCATGGCACACTCAACTACTCTGACATTTACAAGGTCACTTTCATTCGGGTGCTGAAACAGGGATTTGAAGGGTAATATCTAACATCCAATTTTGAAAAAGTTGGCCTAGAGAGTCTCCTTTCATAAAATAAAGTTACCATTATGCATTTTCCCTTGGCTTTAACTCAGTGCAAACTCTCTTAACTCAGGCAAAATTCTCCTCTGTGATCTGCACTTTCTACTGCATATTCAGTACTCACTCTGTACCAAATTCCCATTGACATTAATCTCTGTCTTCTTCAGGTTTATGTATAGCACCTAGCACCATGGTATCCAAGTGCTGATCAATGGGAGTTTTGTGCATGACAGATAGAGTAGGGCTATGTACTACAAGTGGAGACATTTTTTTCTTTGCTTTTACAGTTCTCAATGTACTCAGTATGAAAGTCTCCCTTTCCCAAGCTCAGCCTCTGATTTCTGCATGGAACTTGTTGCTCTCATAACTGATTGCATCCAAAGAAGCAGGCTCCAACCAATTCTGAATATGCAAACACACATTTACGCACATGAGCTGGGGATCTCAGATCTGATCTTCACATACAAAGCATGTGTGTGTCAGCTTTGTAGGCACAATCACTTACATGAGTTAAAATGGTTTCCAAAATTGGAGAATGGGTGGAAATTTGGCCCATCACGTCACACAGTACACATGAAAGAGGAACCTGACACCCCTCAGGTTCTCAAATTTTGCCTTATTTTCCTTTTAATAAGGAAGATAGTGTAATTTTTTTTCCTGATCTATTTTGTCCACTTTCCAAGATTTCACTAATTTTTATTTTTGTGTGCATTTTGAATGGAACTGAAATACATAATTATTTTGGCCTACTTTTTATTTAAGAATCCACAACACGTTATTCCAGCATAACAGCAAACAGCAGCTCTAAGGGGAAGTCACATTTCTGATTTCGTTTTAGGACTACACTTAACCTTAGAGCTGCTTCAGTTTCCTCAATAACAAAGTGGTGGTCAATCCAAAGGAAGGTTGTAATATTGAAGCTTAAACCATTTGACTGTGTCCCTTAGAGTCACTTTCAGATGCAATAAATGTTTTCCCTCCACTGGAATACAGTGCACTATACCTGTCTTCTTACCTAGCAGTGCAGCCGATGGAACAGTGTCTGATGATACTTTGAGATGGAATTCCGGTCACCCACACGACACGGATCAATGGAAATCAACAGAAGATCAACGAGGAAAACAAATTTAAAAAAATGAAAACAAGGTTAGCCGTATCCAACATTCAGAAGGCTCAGTCTATATGTCATATCAGGAAATATAAAACAAAACAAAACAAAACAAAGAAAACTAAAAAAAAAAAAAAAAAAATCTGGCAGTAGTACCTGAGTAGTAGGAATTCAACAAAGATTTGCTCTGAAGGGTTTTGCTTTGGACAGAAAATGAACAAGGAGAGGATGATGCTAGGTAGGAAAGACACAAGGAAAAGACTTTAGAAACATATATATTTAGAGAGAGAGAACAGGGAGAAAGTTCCTCAAAGAACATGGCAATATTGAATACACAGGGCTTATCAAAATTAAATAAATTGTCTATCTGAGCATGCATATTAACTTTATTTCACTACTATACTACTATAGGCCCCAAACATTGAAGTACTGCTATTGTAACATAATATTTGGGAACACTGTAGAGTACTATTCTATTTTTTGAATAGGAGTTGTATTTGTTGTTACACAAGAACTAAATTTGTGTTTTTGTCTCAAAGAGATGGATTCCTAAAAACAACTCCCAGAAATACAAGCCACTCAAAGCTGAGTGGACTACCAGTAGTAAAATAAGCCTGCTCACTAAATGTGATATATACATTCACTTATCAACTAAGACAGGAAGACACAATTTGAAGGCAATCTTTCTGTAGAAGAATGGAGGGATGGGTAGTTTTTACATGAGACATTTTGGAAGGAGATGAACTCTCTCCAGGAGTAGAACAGGACAGGAAAGCTAGGGGCTGCTGGTTTAGCATCAGATCCCTAAAGTGGCACCTCAGATTGGTGACAAAAGAGGCAGCTATCCTAAGTGTGCATCTTACAGAGTATGTGCTTTTGGGACTAATAAGCCCAGCAAGCATGGTAACTGTATCACACATGCCTGCTGTAGATCTAATAGCACACAAATGGTGTTAGCTGCAGCTGGAGGATGGGCTCCTTGGATACGACAAGGGGCGCCTATCTTCTCCCACTCAAGGGACGAGTTTCTCTGGGCAAGAATCAACAAATCATTTCCTGGCTAATCAAAACTGATCAAGGAAAGGGGCAGGGATCAGCATTCATGTGGGGCACTCACTTTTTAGATAGTCAATTTATGGTGCTGGCTTATAAATGGGTCATCTTTAATGTGAATATTTATGGCAACAAATCATTTCTAAGGGCATTTTTTTGTAATCCTTTGTCATTTATTCCTATAGTGACAAATAATGACCTCATTTTCATGAAGGGAAACAAACAAATACAAAATCTCAGTACATCAAAAAGATGCCAATAGATTAAACAGAAATAACTATTCCATAATACAATAAAAGTAGATATAATTCAATATGCATCAAAGTAAATTTCAGATGCAATTTCTACATCTCTAGAGTAAACATTACTGACAAATTTATGAACACTGATCAAAATTTTTCCATGGGGTGAATATAAGTATTCACTAGTCTAGAGAATTTCAAGTGGAATTTCATGAAGTCTGCAGAATTGCCTACTAAACAGATTACATCACCCGTGAAAGCACCTGCAGTTCTCTCAGCATAACACTTTTCTGTTGCTGTGTTGTTCATCAACATCTGCAGCTTATAACATACCAGCTGACATAATGGGGAGTAAGTGAACTGTCTCACAGATTGGTCTCCTGAAGTTCTTCACCAGCCGCCTTTAGGATATAATGCATGCCTCTTTTTTGGGACTCCTTCCCTGCTGTCTGGCTGTTGTATTTTGCTACCCCTATTCATCCTCATGTGTTGTGTTAACTGGGAAGCATTCACTTCTACAGAAGGGAAACTGAGGTGTAGAAAGGTTATGTGATTTTCTTAAGACCACACAGCAAGTCAGTAGCAAACTGGGGCGTAGAATGCAAGTTTTCTAAGATCCAGGAGCCTACATGAAATCACTGGATCACACTGCCTTTGCATTAGTTCAGCATAAGGTACTTAGATACCTACAGATAGAAGCCGTATAAATATTTTAAGTAAATTTAACAAATACTTTTACTCATTTATGTTCAGTGAAACAGGGTTTTACAGGCACAACTGATATGTACGTATTGCATGAAGCTCATCCAGATGAATTTCAACCCAATGCAGAGGGTCAGCACAAAGCATATGCACCACCTACATCCTGTTTAAGCCCTCTAACGTGGTGCATGTACCTTGTACTGGGTCATTAGACAGGGGTCAGTTTCACATCCACTTTAGAGATCTTTGTTAATCTTGTCCCAAAATATGACATGAATTTTGCAGAGAATGTTTAGGAATAATTCAAAGGCAGCTGATATTGTGGCTTACTCAAACTTGCCAGCACCCCTTCATTCTGGATATTCTTCTCTGTTTACTTGATGGTTTTGATGACACAGAGCTTTATTTATTTATTTTAAATAATTTCCATTATCCTATAAGTCACTGTGTTATGTGCAGCAGGATGCACCCAACCGGAAGTAGAAGTTGCACATGGGCACAAATAAGAATTAGATCTACTTCAAGTGCCAGTAAGTCTCAAGTCCCCTTGGGTGTGCTTCCTTATAAGTGCACAAAGGAAAAACATAAGTGAGGTGTGAGCAGAGAATAAGCATGTCTGACTAGACATGGGATGAAAGACAACCCTTTACGTCCTCTGAGGCACTTACCTATACGCTCCTTTCACGGCCTTGCTCTTGCTATTAGACAGGATAATTTTATGACCGCACCAGAGCTCATTAACGCAAGACAGGGTTCCACTGTGCTTCCCATCCTGCTCTTTGCTTCTCACTTTGTACTTCTACATGCTCCTTGTGGGTGATGTATAGGTTTCAAAACCTGGATATTCAACTGAATGCCACTTTGCTCCCTAAATTAGATGCTTGAATAGTTAAATAAACCTTAAACTGTTAGCCTTTACACAAATACCTCATTTTTTAGTCATCTAATCCTTCTATGTCTAGGCCCAGCTGGTTGCCCTGGTAATGCAGCACTCACCTCTGGACCAGCCCTGCATTATCTATGCTACTGTGACATTCCTTCATTGTGGTGTCAGAAAAGTGGTGCCTTTGTGAAGGACATATTATTAGTGTCTCATTGTTCAGATGATGTGCTGCCTGCCCTGTCACGTTGATGGGACTGCCAGACTATATGAGATACCCCCTCAGTATAACCCAGCGTGCACCTTCTTGGACACTTCACAGATGCTAGGGGATAATTTTAGCTCCCACCATGTCTGTTCTTCCTTGTCACTTCTTTTCAGCAGGACTCCTGCACTGAGCTGATACCTTGTGCTGTGTCTCACAGAGGGAAATGGCACTTTCAAGATGATCTTTCATACTAAGGAGCAGTCTCAAAATAAACAGATTCAATCAGTTACTTTCCCTGGGATTAGCATAAAACTTTCCTTTACACATTTGGACAATAAATAGAAGATGAATGGCCTGAATCAACTCTGTATTATTCCAATATAAACCTGGAACAGGTGGAATAATACTACAGTCAGCCCAGCCTGTTGTGTTTTTTCTTTCAACAAAGGTTTATTAATGCTCTCCTATGGGGCTGAGTAAACAGGTCAATTCTCTAAGCCCTTACCTAGTTAAACATCCCATTAATTTCAACAGGGGTTACACCCGCATAAGGGCTGTATGGTTAAACAACAACAATAAAAGGAGTAAGCAATCTAATAATAGCCCATCTTCTGCTGCTCTTTCAGCAGATCCTGCACTGTCTCTTCCAGCCCACCAGAGACAGCCCTTACTGAAACATAAATATTCTTGATAACAAGGGTACATAAAACATCCCTGTCCAAGGCAAAATTCAGCCCTGTCCAGACGGCTAGCACCTGTCCTGTGGAGCTGACCTGTCTCCTCGCTTGGGGACCATGTGCTACTAACCAGTGCATAGGGCTTATGTTGGCCTCTTGCACAGGGCTAAGTTTCACCCCAAGAAGATATAAACTTAAGGAAATCCACTTTCTCGCTCATGTATGAAGCTGATACTTTAAAGGTAGAACCCACTTTCCTACGTATCATCTGGGAGCTTTAAAAACACTTGTATCTAGAGCACTGAGACTTGGTGTTGGGAGATGTGCATTTCTACAGAATGATGGAAGATGAGCCCAAGAAATGAAGTTACGCCAAATGTACCTTTGCTGAGGAGCACGGCTATGTTCGGCTGAATCAGGTGGCACCCCCTCAAACACAAACTTGCATTCAAAAAGCAAGTCGCTGCTTTGCTGCTGTGTGAAATGCCAGGGTTGCTAAGGAAAATGCATCAGGATATGTTGTGACAATCCACTGTGACGTCTATGTAATGGCAAAAGAGTGTGGCGGCACGGATGCTGGAGTGGAGGCGCAGCTGGCTAAGTTACAGAGTTGGATCAGTTTAATATTGGACACGTCCAGTGGGTTGCTATCCTGCTGTTGGGTAGGGATGGATTTAATCTAATAAGACTTTTTTTTCTCTATGATCATCAAAAGAATATTAAGGACCAGGTTTAAACTGACAAAAGCAAAAGCAAAGTTCAGGTGGACACTTGGGGCTAAAGGTAGGAGGAGAAAAGAGCAGAAACGCTCGCCCAGCTGTCTCCACCATTCCCCAAATCTACAAAACCCCACATTTGCAGGCACAGATGGGACAATTGCAAACCTAACTACCCATTTACATGCTCCATTACTGGAACTGTGCATAGAAATGTTCTTCCTCCCAAGGCAAAAGGTGAAGGAACATATTGGTGGGTGAACCAAGGGAGTGCTATTTAAAGTGGGAGGGCCACATGGGAAAGGGTCCTGCCCCCCAAGGCTCTGATATGGGGGGTGCCAGCTCTTGCCCTCGGGGTTGGTTGGGTGCTGTCTCCATGGGTTGGGAGGCCCCATCCCCGAGAAGGGGTCAGGTGTTGCCTCACAGGGGGTTGGATAGCAAGCCCGCCCTGTACTCCCCCTGCAGCAGCTCCTGTTCTGTGGAGCTGGCCTGTCTTCTCTCTCTGACCTGTCAGCTGTTGCTTCAGTGTGCAGGTGAGGCCCTTCCCCAACAATGCCTTGCCCTGTCCCACCCCTTCCTGTTGCTGCCAGATCACCTGCCTCCATCTGGGCTGTGGCAGGCCAAAAAATGTTGGGCCAGGGCCCTGGGGGGCCCCCTGGCTTCACAGTCTATGGGGTGGAAGCTTTTGTGTCCTCTTCGGCAAATCAAGTCCCCTACCTTTCATTTTGAACATACACTGTTGTGCAGGGCTGACCCAAACAAGCTGGGTGGCTACCTACCATAGAGTATTAGTAGCCGCTCCTTTTTGTGTTAGGCAAAAGAGGGGGAAAATGTCTTTGGGGGCATGAGAGAGTGGGTACAAAAGACTGAAGCTCTCAAATTTCAGACATGCAATGTTTTGAAACCTATTAGTTATTGGAAAGGTGGCAACGTAATCCTATTTGTACTGCTTCAAAATAGCATGATTTAGTACAGGCCTCTACAGGTGTCTTTAAGTATTAACTTCTACTACGCCAATTTTTGAAAGGAGGATTTTTTTTCTCATCCATGTTATCTGAGCCAGAACCATAAATTACCTATTTTAGCATGGGTACTCAACTACACAGGACACAAATTACGTCTGTATCAACCAGCCAGGATGCCTCAGCATCCTGAACTTGGCGAAAAAGAGTGTTGAGAGATTATGAACCCTTACTGATAATTATTTCTGATGGTTCTGAAAAAATCCAGCTCAATATTTACATGGAACTGTGCCAAAGAATAGGTATTGGCTAAACTTGCAATGATGTCAGACAAGTCGAGGACTCAGTGATTGTAAGTGATAAAAATCTTTAAGAACGCTCTTTGCAAAATTAATCACAGTGCATTCTCTATAGCCACTTCTACAGATGAATGATTCTGCAGTTTTAATTGTTTTTTTCAAAATACCCAAAAGTGATGAGACCATATTACAGACTCAATTCTTACCATATTTCATTTACTGGCCAGAAATAGGTTTTAAGATTCACAACTGAGGGGAAAGCACTAAAAACTGGTAAATTTCCAATATTTGTATACTATCCATTAGGGTTGTCAAGCAATTAAAAAATTAATCATGATTAATCACACTATTTAAAAAACTGATCATGATTAATCGCACGGTTAAATAATAACAGAATACCATTTATTTAAATATTTGTGGATGTTTTCTATATTTTCAAATATATTGATTTCAATTATAATACAGAATACAAAATATACTTTATAGTTTACAGTTATTTTTATTACAAGTTTTGCACTGTAAAAAAACAAAAGAAACTGTATTTTCCAATTCACCTAATACATGTCCTGTAGTGCAATCTCTTTACCATGAAAGTTTAACTTACAAATGTAGAATTATGTACCAAAAAAACTGCATTCAAAAATAAAACAATGTAAAATTTAGAGACTGCAAGTCCACTCAGTCCTATTTCTTGTTCAGCCAATCACTCAGACAAACAAATTTATTTACATTTACAGGAGATAATGCTGCCCGCTTCTTATTTACAATGTCACCTGAATGTGAGAACAGGCGTTCTCATGGCAATGTTGTAGCCTTCATGCTTCAACCATCATTCCAGGGGACATGCGTCCATGCTGATTACGGGTTCTGCTCAATAACAATCCAAAGCAAATGCGGACCAATGCATGTTCATTTTCATCATCTGAGTCAGATGCCACCAGCACAAAGTTGATTTTCTTTTTTGGTTGTTCGGGTTCTGTAGTTTCCGCATTGGAGTGTTACTCTTTTAAGACTTCTGAAAGCGTGCTCCACCCCTCATCCCTCTCAGATTTTGGGAGGCACTTCAGATTCTTAAATCTTGGGTCAAGTGCTGTAGCTATGTTTAGAAATCTTACATTGATACCTTCTTTACATTTTGTCAGACATACAGTGAATGTGTTCTTAAAATGAACATGTGCTGGGTCATCATCCGAGACTGCTATAACATGAACTGTATGGCAGAATGCCGGTAAAACAGAGTAGGGGACATACAATTCTCCTCCGAGGAGTTCAGTCACAAACTTAAATAACACATTATTTTTTCACGAGTGTCATCAGCATGGAAACATGTCCTCTGGAATGATGGCTGAAGCATGAAGGGGCATACAAATGTTTAGCATATCTGGCACTTGAATACCTTTCAATGCCAGTGTACAAAAGTGCAAATGCCTGTTCTCACTTTCTGGTGACATTGTAAATAAGAAGAGGGTAGCATTATCTCCTGTAAATGTAAATAAACTTGTTTGTCTTAGCGATTGGCCGAACAAGAATTAGGACTGGGTGGACTTGTAGATTCTAAAATTTTACATTGTTTTGTTTTAGAGTGCAGTTATGTAAAAAAAAATCTACATTTGTAAGTTTCACTTTCACAACAAAGAGAATGCACTACGGTACTTGTATGAGGTGAATTGAAAAATGCTATTTCTTTTGTTTATCATTTTTACAGTGCAAATATTTGTCATAAAAATATACACTTTTATTTCAACTACAACATAGAATACAATATATATTTAACGTAGAAAAACATCCGTAATATTTAATAAATTTCAATTGGTATTCTATTGTTTAACAGAGTGATTAAAACTGCAATTAATTACAAATAATTTTTTAAATCATGATTAATTTTTGAGTTAATCATGTGAGTTAACTGCAATTGACAGCCCTACTATCCATCTTACTAAGATGGCTATCACCAAGATATCCTCTCCTTGCCTGATTTACGAAGATGCTCAGCTCCATCAGGACCCTTTGACTTCAGTGTAAGATAGAGGTAGTCATCTTCTTTGAGAAATCAGGTCATACACTCAAGTGAATATTAGTATTGGAGAAGCACTGCATTGCCAGCTTTGGAGTCTGAAGTCCTCTATTTATTGCAGGTATATTGCAGACAGTGGTAATGCAGGCAAATATGATCTGACCTGGAGAGACCACAGTTGTGGGTGAAAGAGTAATTGTCTCTCCAGCCTGTTCAGTCTGAGACTGCAAAAAAGAGTGTCAAACATAGACTTTTTGTTGTTGTTGGTAATGTGGTCACTTGTTCTGTAAGAACTAGAGGGAGACCACTAAAACATTCCACTAAGGTTACTGAAGAATTATCAGACAGTTTCAGTGGCTGGTTGGTACCCAAACTGGACCCTATTCAAACTAATAGGCCAAAGGTCAAAGATTTTAAATGACATTCCTAACACAAAACTTGAAAACGAATTTAAGAACAAGAGGTTTTGGACATGCTATGGTTTCATCTGCAACCATTGCTTCTGAAAAGTGTTTGCTTATCATGCTTTGCATCTATATAGAGCTTTCCATCTAAATGGCTCAGCACGGTTTACTAACATCAACTAACTAAAGTTTACTGCACACTTATGAGGAATGGAATGAGGAAAAGAGAGCAAAACCCAGACCTCCTTAGTCCCAACTCTTTTCCTTAACTTCAAGATCAGCCTTTCTCCAATAACAATTTAGTGCAGCAAAAACTGTTTCACTCTCAGAGGTCTACTTGGGGATTTGATCTCAATATCCCAACATGAGCAAGAATTATTCCACTAGACCAAACAGCCATTCCCCTTATCCATCATGCGATATAATTATTTAAACATCTCTTGTAAATTCTTCCAAGTAGATTTAGAGTTGGAGGGAATCCTCTCCACCTGTCTGACATTTAACTTGGGGCAGTCACAAAAGAAATCTCAGATTGGAGTGTCAGACCTCTTTCTAGAAGCACTCCTGCCATTAACTGTACCCTTTTCATTTCTAATACTTACATCTTGTGCCCATGGAAATAGATCCTTTTAAGTATCTACAGCTCTCAAAAAGGGAGGTATCCATTGCAAGCAAGTTAAACTTACTGAATCCATTAACATCTTGACAGCTGGAAGAAAAAGCTTCTTCGTTGTGAACTGCACTGAGTTTGGTGGTGTTCTTGTCTGAAGTAGCAACAGGACCCATCTCTCTCTGAGTGCTGCTTTGAGTCTCCTTCTGCTTCTTCGCTAGTTTCCTTTAAGGTGTTTTGAAGAGGGGAGAAATCATGGTCAGTTTCTTTCATTAACATCAAAGCAAAAGAGAAAAAAATATCCTTTTTAACTTTTCTTCTTGGACTGACATACAGGACTCATTGCAAAGGGCAAGAAAGTGAAAGATTCAGCTTTAAAATAGCTGAAGGGAGTGTGATAAATGCAGAGACCTAAGCCTTTGAAACTACATACAACACATCCCATAGTAAACATTAGCAAAGGAGAGACTGATCTTACTCAAACCAACAATATAGTTACAAGGGCAATCTAATACCACCTCTGGAACTGATGTCAGTCTTTCAAGGAAGAACAAAAGGCATCAAAATGGGGCAATGGTTTGTGCAGTTCCATATGGGGACAGGGGGTTGCCAGAATCCATATTAGGTGGGCACCTAAATCCAGTCTGGAATTTCCCTTTGACTGTCCCCACTGAAAAGTGGGACTTAACATGAAGTCCACATTAGTGCCCGAAAGGCACAGGAGGAGTTTCTTTGTGCAGGTAGAATAGTGAGGAAAGGAACCTGAACTGGACTTAAGTACCCACCTGAAATGGGCTCAGGACAAGACAGACATTAAATAATGTGACCTGTGAGAGGTAGAAGACATTTTAAAAATCACTGTCTCCAGCTACGTCTATGGTACCATAGTGTCTGTATCTTTTCTAAGACCAAGGAGATGACCAAGCTACTGGCATAAAGTGAACAAGCGCCAGCTCTGAACACTCAGTGACAAACCCATAAGAATATAAGAATGGCCCTACTGGATCAGACCAAAGGTCCATCTAGCTCAGTATACTGTCTTCTGACAATGGCCAGTGCCAGGTGCCCCAGAGGCAATGAACAGAACAGGTAATCATCTAGTGATCCATCCCCTGTCGCTCATTCCCAGCTTCTGGCAAACAGAGGCTACAGACACCATTCCTGCCCATCCTGGCTAATAGCCACTGATGGACCTATCCTCCATGAATTTATCTAGTTCTTTTTTGAACCCTGTTATGATCTTGGCCTTCACAACATCCTCTGGCAAGGAGTTCCACAGGTTGACTGTGCGTTGTGTGAAGAAATACTTCCTTTTATTTGTTTTTACACCTGCTGCTTATTAATTTCATTTGGTGACCCCTAGTTCTTGTGATATGAGAAGGAGTAAACAACACTTCCTTATCTACTTTCTCCACACCAGTCATGATTTTATAGACCTCAATCATATCTCCCCTTAGCCATCTATTTTCCAAGCTGAAAAGTCCCGGTCTTATTAATCTCCCCTCATATGGAAGCCGTTCCATATCCCTAATAATTTTTGTTGCCCTTTTCTGAACCTTTTCCAATTCCAATATATCTTTTTTGAGATGGGGCAACCACATCTGCACACAGTATTCAAGATGTGGGCATTCATTTGACTCCTAGAACCATATCTTCTGCTACATGTTTCAATTAGCTGTGTTTATTTCACAGGGAATAAAGTTTGAGTGGCATTTACTGCACTAAGAGATCACAAATGCTCAAGACTCTCACGTGAGTCTATGCTGTGCTGACCAGTTAATAAACTCATGTGCAGGGAGAGGATGGGAGTGACACTAAAACCTAGATCTGTGAAACTATAACCCTCAAGACATCTATGCAGCCCAATCCAGGATAGCTTCATTTATGTGAAAAACGTCAATGCAAACTTTTGAATACATTTTGGATTGTGAAATTCATGCCAGCTCCTTGGATTTTTTTTGTAATTATTCACGTGGTGTACAATCAAAACAACAAACCATTGGCAAAGTTGGTTGTAGTGAAAAACTTCAATCTGACCCCGGTAACTCTTTCAATACAATAAAATAATCAAGATGTGGGGGGTTTTATTTACAGATTTTTTTCCCCAGTTGAGGTCTAGTTTTAGACAAAGAGCATCGCTCCCTCTTAGCGAGAAAAAAATATATTTTTCATTCTTTAAATGTGTACATCACATAATCATTTGTTTCACTTTTGCTCAATCATAGACTAATGCAATTTAGTATGTTCTTAGATTACACAAGGGAAAACTGTGTCTGTCTTCCTCCAGTGGTTGGACCACATCAAAGACTTTGCTACTATGGCTACAAGCTAATACTTCCTCCTTTAGCTCAGGCAGTAGAGAATCAGCCTTTTACATTTAGAGGTCCTGGGTTCAAACTTTAATGATATGCCTGGTTGGGTCATCTGCACAGTGGCAAAGCACTTACTGCAATAAAGCCTCACAGCACCTGTGTGATGCATAGATCTTCATTTTATAGACGTGAGAAACTGAGGCACAGAGGTTGCATGACTTGCCCAACATCACTCAACAAGCCTGTGGCAGAACCAGAACAACCCAGGTTGCCTATCTTCCCAGCTCTATCAAACTCTTTCAATAAAGTCTCTCACTTACAGTAAGCACTCTACAGTAACTTGAAAAATAGTAATACAGTGCTCTGTTATGAGGAAGCTCATATCTTGATAATTAATGAAATTAAAAGCTGGGCCTATTGTGATATAGGTCAATGCTAACACACAGCTGGATTTACTAATTGTAGTATGTGGGCATGTGAACCCTCTGTTTTTATTTACCATGTTACCCTATACTCTGCTATACCTTATCTGTAGCAACATTAACCTTATGATTTATTAACCCTAGTATGGAGTTATGTTAATCCTTTGGATTTGCTAATTATAGTGTGTGGCTATGAGAGTTGTTTGGCAACAGGAACTATGATTTCTCAGTGGGAAACACTAATCCCAAATACATAAGTCTTTAATAACAAGCACTCTGGACTTCTGGGGTGAACCATTACCGATTCCCATTATTGAAGCTTAAAAATGGTGAGTCAACAAGGGCAAGAATTCCTTATTAATTCCAGATTAAATTATTCCTGGCAATAATTGCCTAGAAGTCCCACTGCTAGATGTCTTTTGAGACAGGCCAATAAGCTACAAAGAGTTGGAACTGGCAAACTTGTTTTCCTTTTCAGTGAATGAACAATAGTGTTTCTGAATGGTCTGTGCAGAAAGGAAACTAGGGTCCCCAAGGAATGCTGATGGAAGCCCTATGTAAAGCAATTCTACATTGTCATGTAGGAGACACAGAAAGCCCTAAAACAATGGCTTGAGCAGTTGAAAGAAAAGGATGGTATATATTTAGTGTTCCCAACCTAGCTTAAGTCACAGAAGCAGAACAAGGAAATGGCAGCCTCTCCTCGTAGGAAGCCCATTGCATATTACATCATATTGCGGGGTATTGCTCTTACAAGGGGATCATAGCCTCCCCCCCCAATCAAGAGCACAAAATTCACAGAACAAATGAAGAGAGGGGAAGGAGAGAGAGATGTTCTCTTTTGAGGATTTTGGAGCTCCTTGTTGCCACCTCCCCTTCTTTCTCAGTTGTGTGTCTGGACAGAATAGCAGCTCGGGAATAGACCTAGTCAGTCCTCACTATCACTGCAATTAGAACAAGAGAATCATATAGGGTTAGAGGGGCCCACAAGGGTCACCTAGTCTAACCCTCTGCCAAGATGCAGGATTTGTTGTGTCTAAAGCATCCAAGACAAGATGCCTACCCAACCTCCTTTTGAAAACCTCCAGTGAAAGAGCTTCCATGACTTCCTGAGGCAATTTGTTCCATTGTCCTACTGTTCTTACAGTTAGGAAGTTTTTCCTGAGATTTAATCTAAATTTGCTCTGCTGTAGCTTGAACCCATTGCCTCTTGTCCTGCCCTCTGTGGCAAGAGAAAACAATTTTTCTCCTTTTTTTATGGCAGCCTTTCAAGTATTTGAGGACTACTGTCATGTCCCCCATTAATCTCCTCTTTTCCAAATTAAAGATACCCTGTTCCTTCAGCCTTTGCTCATAGACCTGGCATTGCATCCCTCTGATCATCTTTGTCGCTCACCTCTGGATCCTTTACAGTTTTTCTACATTCTTTTTATACGTTGGTGACCAAAATTGGACACAGTTCTCTGGCTGAGGACTACCCAGAGCCTCCCGTGACTTACACGTTATGCCTCTATTAATGCATCCCAAAATTGCATTTGCTTTTTTTGCAACAGCATCGCATTGTTGACTCATGTGGAGGATGTGATCCACCACAACTCCAAGATCCTTCTCAGGAGTGCTGCCGCCAAGCCAGTTATCTCCCATTCTGTATTTGTTCATTTGGTTTGCCTTCCCGAAGTGTAGCACCTTACATTTGTCTCTGTTGGATTTCATTTTATTGTCTATAGCCCAGTTCTCCAATTTCTCAAGCTCCTTTTGAGTGTTAGCTCTACCCTCCAAAGTCAATGAATACAAGAATTACAAAACATCAAATGATTTTAGCACACGCTAAAGTGTGAGGGATGTAACTTAACTAACAGCTGGGCAGTGATTTATCTGCCAATATGTCAAGATGTCTTTGCAACTGTAAAAGTGTTTATCTGAAAATGCTCTGATTCTAAATACAGAGCTCTTGAAATGATCTCCCTGAACCACTGACAGGTCCTATCAGTGGCAAAGCGCCTGCTCTCCTCACTGACCAGCTTCCCATCCGCACGACCGCTGGAACATCCAGATGAAATTCTATCAGCGCATTCGTGTCAATCATGGTTGGACCGCGGGCTGTCGAGAATGTGTAACCAGCATCAAACTGCACAGTCTGTCACTAGGCATTGAGAAGAAGCTTTTTGTCTCATGCATTATGCAGCTGAAAAAGGAAAAAAAAAAAAAAACTGGACAGATACTTGGAGGAAAAGACTGATACAATCAACATGTGATGAAGTGATTGAAATGTCAAAGTGTCAATAAGGAGGAATTAATGGCTGCTTTACTTCTAAGTGCAAGGAAAATGTGCCAAGAAGAAAACAAAAATCCACAGAGGCAGTTTATCAGGCTGCTCTTTCAGGTTCAGGAGAGAGGATTTGTTTAAAAAATATGGGACAAAACTTGTGCGTGGGCACTCTACATGGTGGGGAGGTGAGACAGGAATAACACTCAAAGGTGGAACAACCAG